CGGCTAAAACGCCCCTGGCCCTGGCCAATCAGCATCTCCTCATAGAGATGAATTGAATCAATGAATCTCTATGAGGAAAGTTCAGTGTCTGCATGCAGAGGGAGGAGACACTGAATGTTTGGATTTTAGGCCAGCTGAAGTGGTAGAGGTTAACACAGTTAAGGAGTTTAAGCATGCGTGGGATAGGCATAAGGCTATCCTAACTATAAGATAAGGCAAGGGACTAATGAAAGTATGTAGAAAATTGGGCAGACTAGATGGGCCGAATGGTTCTTATCTGCCGTCACTTTCTATGTTTCTATGACCCAGGAAGGATCTCTAACAGCCATCTAAGGAGTGGCCAGTGAAGTTATCACTAGGCTGTAATGTAAAGACTGCATTTTCTCTGAAAAGACAGTGTTTACAGCAAAAGGCCTGACGGTAATGATTCTACTCACCAGAACAAATTCAATAAGCAGTAGTTCTTCTTGTGACTCTAGTGTCCCTTTAATTATATTCATTGTCAGCCAGTCCACACAAGTTTTGTTCCCATACATCCCTCTTAAGTTTCCATACTTAAGTAAGAGTATGTGAAAAGTAGTTAGGGTTGCCACCTTTCTTGGAAAACATACCGGCCTTGCTAATTTGCATAATTAAATATGTATGGGTGACATCACATGATGTAAATCACAAGTTGAGAAAACGCTGTAAAATCACCAAAAAACTACTTAGTTTGATTCTGCTGTATAGATGGATTCCTCCCAGTGGCCCCATGTCTCTCAGTGCCCCCATGTGTCGATTACTCCAGGTCTCAGTGTTCCTATGTATCAGTGTGTCAGTGCCCCATGTCTCGTCGTGTCCCCAGGTCTCCCAGTGATCCTATGTATCACAGTGTCTCAATGCCCCATGTCTCCCTGTGTCCCCATGTATCCCAGGGTCCCCATGTCACTAGGAAGAAGGGAAGACCTAGGGACGGAGCGTGTCTTGGGCACCATCTTAGATGGCCACGTTTATAGAGTGGCTCCTGGACAAGGGGGACAATTTTGTGCCAATTTTAATTTTAATGGACCAATTCTAACAGAAGCTACAAAAAGCCAATCCAACACTGACTATGCAGAAGCAAAAAAAACCTGAAAAATCCGTACCTGGAATAAAGAAAGTGGAAGCAGGAGCTGCTGGGGTGAGTAAGGGTTCCCAGGCTCGCTCTCCTGCATCCAAACCCGGCTCGCGGCTGGTTTCGCCGCTTAAAATATCTTTGTTGGCGTCGGGGAAATCCCTCCCTACCTCCCGCCCGGTCTCCCATCCCAAATCCTATGCCTCACAGCTTCCTGAGAGCGGCGGGACCGCGGCCGCACTAGCCGGCACTTCCGTGTGCGGCTCAGAGCACTCAGCATGTTTGGAGCACAGGGCTATGTCTCCCGCGAGCGGCAAGGTCTAACACTAGAGCAGCCCAGTCGCTCACTTACAAAAGCGACCGGGTTGCTAGTATAGGGGAGGGCAGTGTGAGGTCACGCTCCCCGTCGGGATCCTCAGCCTCCAGGTTGTCAGTCTCGTGGGGGGGGGCTCTGCTGTCCGAACCAAAATATTTAAAGGCACAGTAAGGGCTATAGAAAGCCCAGAGGATAATACTATGGAAATAGGGGCTGAAGTGCCACAAATAAGTTCTCACTCTGCTCTACCACAGAGAATACGTCATGATGCCACAACAAAGATGGCTGCCAGCCCAGATATTGTATATTCCACTGCCAAGATGGCCACTGCCACCTCCAATATGGATACTACCACATTTAAAGCAGCAGCCTACAATCCTAATATGCCACCTGAATTGGCAGAAGACCTGCCACTGTCAACTGGCATGATAATTCAACTCATCAAAGATTTGAGAGTTGATTTGAAAAATGACTTTAAAAAAGACTTTGACACACTATATGGTGCCATGGAGGGCATTAACCAGCGAACAGAAATAATAGAGAATAGATTGCGCTCTCAAGAGCAATCTACCTGGATCTGGTTGAAACCGTAAAAGAGCTCCAAAAGCAAGTGCACCAACAAGCGGAAAAGTTAGCCGACACTGAGGATAGAAGTAGGCGTAATAACCTAAGGATCAGGGGGATCCCTGATAATATCGATTCTCAGGAATTACAAAGCTATTTCCAGACAATGGTGAAGTCAGTTTTACCAACCGCAAAAAATACGGATTTATTACAGGACAGCATCCATAGATTGCCCAAACCTGACAATGCACCTGCGGCTGCACCCAAAGATGTGATAGTGAGATTCCACTACTATCACATTAAAGAGGAATTTCTTGGTGCAGTACGCACGTCAGGTCTCACAGGAGATTACAGTGGCATGAAGGTCTTCCAAGACTTCTCTGCTCAAACAATGAAGCGACGCAGGGAATTTCAACTTTTCACTGCGGAGCTAAGACGAAGAGGGATAAGATCTAGATGGGGATTCCCGGTTAAAGTCCTTTTCCGTATGGATGGTAGGAATTTCATAATCAGGTCACCTGAGGAAGGAATGGAACTCATCAATTCCATTAATAGACATCAGGTTTCGCCTCATAGACTCTCGCCATCAACGCCTATGCAGTCCAGCAAGAGAAGCAAATCGGACACTTCCTGAGATCCCAGCTCAAAGAGCTACAGTCTTCCTTTTCCATGGTCGTAAGTTGCTCGACGCTTTAAGTTGAGATGTTCTCCCTATTTTCATAAAGGAATTTTATTTATTTTTTTAGACTTTTATTTGAATTTTTTTTTTTTCTCTTTATTGATTTTTTATGTTATGGTTATCGAGTCCTGCTCCAGTCCGGTGATTTATTGGGATTACTTTGAATTTTGACTTGTTAATCCTTTTTATGACAAACTTTCGAGTTTTCCCACCAATGGTTATTTGACCTGTGCCTTTATGGTTTATTTCAGAAATCGATTACTTAAAACTTTCTAAATTTATACAATCAAAATTGTTGTTTTTTATATAATTTCATATTTATTTAATTTTATTATTTTTTTATTGGTCTGTGCTTTTTGTCCTTTCAAATGTCATACTTAAAAAGTTGCTTTTTGTTTTTTACTATTTATATTGGCTCCCCTTGAACCCAGTAGCCTTCTCTCCCCCCAACCTGGGCCTAACACCCTGAGATGGAGAAACTTTTTTTGTTCTCCCTCATGGCCCTCTTTCACTGTTTTTGTTTCACCTCTGATAGGTGTATATACCCAAGTTTTTTGTTCCCCTTTATTTTTCTATATTTTTTGTCCATCCATTATTTAAAGTTCAGTAGAAACGTTTCTAGACCACGAAACACTGCAATGCTTCATACAAAAATGCATACTACGTGGCATCAGCAACTTGTAAAAATCTGTTTATTCACTATTCCTGTACACACAAGTACACAGCTTGAGTTTGCTTTGACAGTTTTGTTGGACTTGCATGTTTCTCTCTTGGAAGGCGGTTGCTTGGACTCTCACAAAATTGAATGTTCTTTTACCCTTTACCAGGTATTACTGTCTTCATAAACCATGGTTTTAAAATGTCATTTAATATGAGAGGCCTGAACACCGCCCACAAGAGACGATTACTATTCAAAGAAGCAAAATCCAACAAATCAAATGTAATCTTTGTACAGAAAACACATTTTAAAGATGATAAAGACCATAAGATTATGTCAAAACTTTTTCCAGTCCAATACCATTGCACTTATAAATCCAAGTCTAGAGGTACATCGATTTTCTTTCACAGGAATGTAGCATGTTTGACAAACAAAGTAATAACGGATGCTGACGGGAGGTATTTAATATGGATAGGATCACTCAATACTGTTGAATATACTATTGTGAACATGTATTTTCCAAACACCGGTCAGTTGCAGTTTTTTAGGAAATTCATGGATTTAGTGAATGAGAATGTGAGAGGCAGCTTGGTAATGTGTGGTGACACGAATTTTGTTATGGATGGAGAATTGGATAACGCTAGGGAAGAACTTGATCAACAGCATAGAGGGGATAGTGACAGATTAGCGTATAAATGCTCTAGATATATGATTGAATGTGGCTCATACGACCCTTGGAGACTGATGCATGAGAATGAAAGAGATTTTACGTATTATTCTGTCTCTAAAATATGTATTCCAGGCCGGTTTATGGTCCAGGGTGCTTTAATTCCACGCATCTTGAAATCTGATATCTTAAACATCAACTGGTCCGACCATGCTCCAATCATAATGCATATTGACGAAATTGTTTCATCAGCCCCTAACAGGACCTGGAAATTAGGTGATTATTTGTTAAATGATGTTGTGAACAGGTCATTGACGGAGAAAGCTTTGTGTGATTGTTTTTCGGAGAATGCCTCGCCCGAGGTTCCTGGCGAGGTGACTTGGAATACGCATAAGAGGTCATTTTATTTCTAGAGTGTCTCATCTGAAGAGAATTAATAGCAATAATTTAAGAACATTGGAAAAAGAATTGTACAATTTGAATTAGGCTAATAAATTTGGTCCATCGTCCTCCCTATCAGCAATGATAGGAGAAATTAAGGCTAAAATTAACAAAATGAATTTAGATCGTACATCTCTTATGGTGAGACGTCTCAGGAAAACATTTTACTTAAAAGGCAACAGGGCCTCAACTCTTTTGGCATCCAAACTCCGGCATGTGAATACCCAATCAAAAATAGCATATTTACTTGATCAGGGGCGAAAAGTGTTTCATCCAACTAAAATTAGTGATATGTTTGCAGTATTATAGTAAACTCTATAACTTAGAATGTAATTTGGACCTCCCCCAGCCTTCTACAACAATATTTGATAAATTCTTAGACAGAGTGTCATTTAGAAAGCTTAGAATGTGAAATATCAGCAGTAGAGATAGCTGAGGCAATCAAACTTATGCCATCTGGAAAAGCCCCTGGTCCCGATGGATTCACTATTTTATATTATAAAACTTTTCCAGAAATTTTAATTCCCCATATGACTAAAATGTTCAATTCCTATAAGTCCGGGGGAAAGATGCCGGAGGAGTCCTTGTGCGCACGAATAGTCACTGCCAAAGCCGGGAAAAACTCCCGATAGATGCCCTAACTTTAGGCCCATTTCTCTGATTAATAATGATTCAAAGATTTATTCTAAAGTTCTCGTTAATAGATTAACCAAACTAATCCCATTGCTAATTAATAAGGATCAAGTAGGTTTTGTACAGAATAGACAGGCGCCAGACTGAACTAGAAGATTCATAAACTTGATTCAGCACATCAATATGACCAAAACGCCTTCTTTGCTTCTATCTCTAGATGCAGAGAAGGCGTTTGACAGGATACATTGGGGATATTTATGGAGAACATTAGACAGGTTCAACATACCATCATCCTTTATCACAGAAATTAAGGCACTATATTGCGCACCCCAGTGGCG